GCGTCCCCAGAGAGCCCGCTGGCGGCAGGGATGTGTCCTTGGCCATCTCCTGACCTCCAGCCCTGCCGCTGCGGCCACGCCCCCTCGGCAGCCACCTCTACCGCCCCACCCATGGCAGGCCACCGCCCAAACAGCTATGTACTGGAGTGCAAGTGGCCAGTGATGTGACAGAGCCCCACGGACCCCGGGCGTGAGCACGCCGCGTCCCACGTGAAGGCACCCAGCAGAGCTGGTGACGCGCCCGCCAGCCGGCCCCCACCCCTTGTCTGAGGGCGCATAAGGTGACTTCCATCCTGCGGTATGAATTTCTTGGCCCTGCCACAGCGTCGGTGCTGTGACAGATGCTGTGACAATGAATACCGAATTAACCCCGGCTGAGTAGAGGCTTTTACACGTTATTAATGGGGTGTCAGCCTGGCCCTCGCCTTGTGTACGACTTCCCATTGAATACTCTCCTCTCTCCGGAAAGATCCATCTCTCTCTCCTCGCAGGGGCGCCAACTCAGTGGCAACTCCCTGCCCCTGGTGACCCACTGTGAACTGAGCAGCGATGCCCTTGAGGGAGGCCAGGGCTCGGAGGTGGCAGCCTCTGCAGACACTCCATTCCCTGCTGGGCGAGGCAGCCACTGGCCCCAGCCTGGTGGTCTGCTCTACCCCCAACCCCCTGAGGTGCCCTGCACTCCAAGGGTGGTCTCATCATCTAGAACCTTACGCTAAATCACCAACGTTTGGGAGGCATGGATTCTTGCAACTTTAATGAGCTATTTTTATTTTATTTTATTTTATTTTTTTAGAGCAGAAACCCAAATGCCACGAAGTGCCCCAGTGTGAGTGCAAAGAGCCTTCAGCTCGATTTTTCTGAACTCTTCACTGACTCAGAAAAATGTGTCTAAATGCTGTGTCAGAGGAGGAGCGTGAGCTCAGTCACTTGCTGACGCCCAGAGACGGGGAGAGTAAGGCTCTGTCTGTCTTCCGTTGACCTATTAGACTCATTTTCATGAGTCTCCCCAGAACGGCTCAGTCTGGGGTGGCCCAGCTGCAGGTCCCCAGCGTCAGAAAGCATGGTGACCACGGGCTCGGTAAAGGCGCCCGAGCGAGTCAGCGGACACGAGTGCGAGGTGACGAGGGAGGCTGTGGACACAGGCGCACGCCCGGTGGAGGTGTGGCAGAGGGCGGCTGCAGAGGGCCCAGGCCGCGGGTGGCTAGTCAGCCCTGAGATGTCGGGCCGGACTTCAGGCGTCTGTTGAGGCTTTCTGCTGGTCCGAGGGCTCCACGCGGAGCAAGCAGGAAATGGCCACCTTGACGGTGAGGCCCGTCCGAGGGCTTTGTTCCAGCCCATCTCCGGTAGTCCTGATGTAGACACGGAAACTTGGGGGTGTGGACAGAGGACAGGGAGGGAGGGCTGGGGAACTCTGAGGGTGACAGGAGAGAGCTAGGAGGGACGCGGTCACCGCAGAGCCAGGACATGTGTTAAAGAGCATTTTCCAGTAGCAGCTGAGGGACCATGTCTCCCGAATGACTCTCCAGAACCTGCCCCTGAAAGGAGTGCCATGGCCTGGTCATCTCGGTCACCAGACGCTCCAGGGCCTGGGCCTGGTGGGAGGGGACGGTCTACTGGTCCAAGAGCTTGTCAAGGGGGCTACCGTGTTAACCATGTATTAGACACACACAGCCACTTACAGGACAATTCTCCTATAACCGTCGCTGGGAGACCACTATGGGATCTCCGTGGCCAGGTCGGAGCCAGTTCTCCGTAAAGTGGAGCACAAACCCTTCCATTCCGGCAACCAGACTGCCGGTCCTCGGGCTCCGCTGCTCACGGCAGTGCCCCCACAGCCCTCGTCCCCGGGGAGATCTCGGCAGTCGGCTTCCAATGAGGTTCCTTGGTCTCCCTGCTCTGCGGTTGGTGCGGCTCTGCCCTGCGGTTGGTGTGGCCCCTGCCCTGCGGTTGGTGCGGCCCTGCTCTGCGGTTGGTGTGGCCCCTGCTCTGTGGTTGGCGTGGCACCCTGCTCCTTCAGGGACTGCTACCTCCCGAGGACAGCTCCTGCCCCGGCCCCCAGGGTTCCCGGCTGACTACTGCACTAGTTTTCCAATTCTGCACATTCTGAAGCTGCTTCTGCCCTAAGACTCCCCGCGGACTTAGTAAATACTGCTCTGGGGGCTGTTCATTGGCCACCGTCACTGCAGCAAGCCGACCAAGGACAGGCCTCTGTCTCCCACCTCCTGAGTGCCCGCCCAGGCTCAGCCTGGAATCGCCGGGCTGGTTCAGGCCGCACGTCCAACTGCGAGCACTCCACAGCTCTGTCTTCGAGGACGGCCTGTGGGGGTTCTCCTGCTGCACCCAACCTCCTGAGCACCCCACGTGGCCTGAAGCCCAGGAGTGGTCCTAGGAAGACCAGGGCCACGCAGCCGCCCCAGCGTGGCTTTCCCTAACGACTCTGTGGAACCACGAGGAAGGGTAGGAAGGACGTTTCTAAGCCAGACACCCAGCCGAAGGCGAGGTTCGCAGTCAGACCTCGTGTGCAGAGCCGGCCCGAACGCGGGCAGGACTTCACCGCAAGCCAGAGGAAGCCACTTGGAGTTCTCAGTGTAGGTGGAGACCCGAAGAGGAGGGAGTGTGGGGAGATGGCTCAGGGGCAGCTAGGAAACAGCCTCCGGAAGGTAAACCCTGGTGTGCACTGACCACTGCCCGGGGGAGGGAGGCAGGAGCCGCGGTCCACGGCTCATATCTGTTTTCTCGTTTAGTTTAGTTCTACTTAGTCCGGCCAATCCATTTTCCTGTGTGTAGGCTCAGTAGATAATGGAGTGCACTGGGCACTGGGCAGCTGTGGAGAAGCACCTCTGGTTCCCTGGGCAGGTAACTACAGCCACGGAGCAGAATCCATGCAGGTGCAGAATCTGGTGGAGCAAGGCCTCCTGGTTCAGGTCTCTCCCCTGCTCTGACAGTGCATGGCCACCAGGGGGCATCATCACCACGGGCAGGCTCTCAAGGTCCCACAGAACTGCTCTGAAGGGAAGAGCCACTGACCCCAGCCCAGGAAGGGCACTGGATGAAAACGCCTTTGGCCGCTCGGGGGCCCGACGTGGGCTTCCCGGGACTTACGGGTCCTGAGCCAGGGGCATCACTGACCCCGCCTGCACAGGAGGCCCTGAGGCTGAGAGTGCTGGGGGAACTTTAACTGCAGCCTGCTGTGGGCTCCCAGGGGAGAATTACTCACTTCACCCTGACTCGTGGTAACTGGAGTAGATTAACCTTGGGGAGCAATGTATACCTTTTAAAATAAAACGGCAGGGAGGGATTGGCTGCTCACCATCACTCGATAGGTTCATGTTTGCAAGGCCTGCTCCTGAGCTGGGAACTGCTTCTGAGACAGGGTGGTCCTGGGGTACCTGAGAGTAGGGGCCAGGTGGTCTCAAGGTCAGGCTTTCCTGACCGAGGGAAACCAAGAGAGGCATGGTCCCCTAGCAAGGAACGGCCCGCATCCACGCCACAGCGTTGGCGAGGGCAGTGTTGCTGGGACACGCCTAGCCCACGGTGTCCACAGGACCAGCTGCAGCAGCAGAGGGAGGCCTGGACAGAACCGGTGTGGCCTGCAAAGCCTAAACTCACATCCGGCCTCTGCAGGAGAAGCGGGCCTCTGCACCAGCCCATGGGACACCTCTCTACAAGGCAGGGCAAGGACCTTTCACAGCAGGGCAAGGACGTATAATTAAACACCGAAGTTCTGATCATCCAAAACTCCTGGGAGGCGCCTAGGGTGCTCACTTGCATTTGGTACTAAATGCCAATATCAGCCATCGGTACTTCACTGAACATCCAGCTCCTGAAGCAAAAGGAAGTCACATGTCCCTCACCCTCGGTACTGCACGGGGACAGAGCACATTCTCAGATCCCAGCGTTACACTCGAGTGTAGGAACTAATGAATGGGTCTGCTCATGGATTCACTTTCTTTTTTAATAGACGTTGTTTCCTTAGGGCACATACACTTTCCAGAGAGAGAGAGACAGAGATAGAGAGATAAAAAGTGAGAAATTCCCCCACGCACACCTGGGGAAGATAGCCACACCGCAATCCCATTTCCTCCACTCTCCTCCCAGGGTTTTGGGCATGCACGCTCATGTGCCCAGCGTGAGTTTCAAGTCACCAGGTCTCAGTCAGACTCGATCTACGGTCACCCAGGTGGGAGTCTATCACCTTAACCACCATGCCACCTGCAGGCCCTGCTGCTAGTTTTTAAAAGAACTACGATAACGTCTATAATCATCTGTCCCACCTGTTCCTGAGGGAGCATGACATGACTGTGAAGTTTACTCTCCAACAGGGAGCAGTGGCTTTAGGTTGGGCCAGGGCTGACCGGATGAATAAGTGGTCTGGGGAGTCCTCACTTGGAGAGGTCAAACCTCAGCTTACTCCAAGTCCTAGACAAAATTCTCAAATGTGCACACACATGCATGCATACTCTTTCATTTTTTTCTTCCAAATACCTCAGCTTTGCCAATTGAGTAGGGGCCAATGGAGATATTTGCTGTAGGACTGAGGGTGAATAGCTGTGGGGAGTTCTGCAGTGGCTGCTTCTTGCAGAAGGCTGGTTCCCACTGGCCAATAAGTCTTTCTTCACTGAACGCCCCAAAGGAAGGAGTTTGAGTCCCAGCTGCAACTTTCGACGACATTAGGATTCTGCGAATTCCCATGTGCAGTCCTTCTGGGGAGCTTTCTCTCTTTGCGCTTCCACTTTATCTAGAGTCTATGCTAGTCTGGGACCGCTATACGCACGTCGGGTATGGAAACCAAAGACGGTAAGATTCCAGTCTTACAGGAAGTTGCTATCTAAAAATAAGTGCCTAATTTATAAGTTCAGATACTCTGCTGTACTTATTCAAACACTTAATTCGCACACACACATGTCTTATGCACGGGCTGAGTATGGTAGACATATTCAGGCTGTAAAAATGTCAGCTTCATCAAAATCAAATCAGGTTCCCAAATCTGACTGGCTTACCAGCTGCTGGCCTTTGGGACCCCATCCTGCATACTGGAGCTTTGCATTGCTGACTTCGGGTGGGTCCAGACTTTGAGGATCCCTGAAAAACAGACAGAAACAAAGCAAAATGTTGGGAACCAGGAATTTACGATGCTGCAGTTTTATGCTCCAGCTGTAACTTAACTCACTTTTCCCTCCATTGCATCAATTGCAGGAAGTCGCCTCTTGTGTTATTAAATAATGTCTCACTCAGTCTCCAATAGAGTTCTCCAGCTGTATGTAATTTATATGATGCTGAAATAAGTCCATCACTGCTTAGCCCAAACAGTAAATATTCATCAAGAGAGAACATGCACAGAGGTCTATAGATCAATTTTTAAGATATTCAGAACAGTCAAAATTAAAAATTGAAATGCATAGCTGTGCAGCAATAAATCCCTATGACTTACACCTCCATCGTTGGTTTTCCTTGCAGGCAGTTTTATTCTAAGCATAATGCCAGGTCACTCTGACCTTCCAAAACCACAGGCCTCAGAACAGACCGTATCCTTTGGTTTGTGTTGATACGTACGATCTCCAGAGAGCAAGAGAAGAGCATGAGAGAGAGACACACACAACTGGAGGGCAGATGGGGGGAGGGAGAGGTAAACGGAAACGTGTTTTCCCTTCTCAAATGTCACCTCTAGTTTTCATTCTTCATGTACAGATATGCAGAATGCCATGACAGCACACTCCTATCTATGTACATAAAGCTCAGAATAAAGACATGTGCTGGTGAGAAAAGATGACGAGACGTAACCCTGACACCTGTATGAGCAGTGAGCATTTCAGCGGTCTGTAGCTGCGGTGCTTTTTGTATCTGTTCTGGATGATGCCGCTCACATGAAGAATTACACCTGGGTCCCGCAGAGCAGGCCCGACTCCGTCAGGTGAGCACCCTCTGCCTGTCTAGCAGACAGAGATGAATGCAGACAGAGATGAACGTGCTCTTTCTCTACAGAGAGGAGGTGGGATGGTCTTGAAGAAGGAAGAGCCTGAATTTTAGGAGCTGCATGAACGAAGGAGCTAAGGTAAGGCGGGAAGGACGGTGAAGTGAAGAAGGATGTGCCGCCAGGGCTAGGGTCAGCAGAACATCTGAAGTCATTGCCAAATAACTACCAGGAAGAAAGAGGGGATGCACACAAGAGGAAAAGGAGCTGGGAAGGTGAGAGTCCACCGTGCCCCAGGGTGGCTCGAGGTGCAGAGACCCGAAAGCCTGAGGATGCAGGGGCGTGTGGCCGAGTGCACAACACAACGACAGCATCCCGGGAAGGCAGCTGCCTGGGGCACCAGGAGACACAGGGGTCTCCCCAGTGCACATTCCAGATGGAGTTTTTTTTTTTTTTTTTTTGAGAGATTTTTTCACTGTAGGGCGCATGCGCTCGCCAGACAGACAGAGAGAGACATAGAGACAGAAAGCGAGAAATCACCCCCCAGGGGGGATGGTCACGCCGTAATCCCTTCTCCTCCATTCTCCTCTCGGGATCTTGGGCACGCACGCACACGCGCCCGGCGTGAGTTTTAAGCCACCGGGGCCGGGACACGAACCGCGGTCGACTACGTGGGAATCCAGCAACATAGCCATTATGCTAACTGCTGGTTCCTCCAGAAGGAGTTTTAACAACCCTACCATGCGTTTGTTCTCAATGTTTCAAAGAATTTTCATAAAGATAGGTGAGTTCCTCTTGAACCGTGGTGTGGAGAAGGCTTTCTAAGGGGGAAGCAAAGTCCGGAAGCGAAACGTAAAGGACGGGTGCATCTGGCTATGTATAACGTAAAGGACGGGTGCATCTGGCTATGTATAACGCTTAAGACTTCGTACGACAGAGCAGCACCAGCAAAGATAACGGACAGACAGGGAGAAGAGGAGACATTTGTGACGTAGGCCATAGACAACTTGCCAATATCCCCAGCACTAAAGATCTCTAAAAGTTGGGAGTACAAAAAACAAAACATGTCCTAGGTCTGTCCACTGAGAGGGCCCAGAAGTGCTGTCACCCCATGGCAATGAGCACAGTTAATGCTCAGACCTTGGTCTCCAAACGCCATCCTCTAATAAAAGGGTTCAGTGATCCTAGGAGAAGCAATTATATGCAGGCCGGGGCAGGAAAAGTACAGGATGGGTCTGGGCTATCTTACAGGCTCGGAAAGTAAGACGATACTCAACAGCAACAAGAAAGATAGGGATTTGTTGGCCTTCACGTTCACTGCAGCATTATTCGACCTTAGCTGCCGACTCTGGTCACCACACTGAGGTCATGAAATATGCTACCAGTAGGAGAGATGGCATGAGCAAATCAAAGGGTTCTCTGTACTGTTTCTGCAACTCTTTCATAGATCTAAAGTGATTCAAAATCAAAAGCTAAGAATTAGCAATAATGGAATTAGCAGTAATGGAATTAACCCAAATGTCCAAGAGTGATGAACACTTTGAGCAAATGTGCACATAGATACTATAGGATCCTAGCAGCTATAAAAACAATGAGACAAACTGATATGAAGTGGAAAGAATATGGAAGATTCCATGCTAAGTGAAGCAAGCCGGACTATGAAAGACAGACATCGTATATCCCACTTAATATACATTGAACGTTTGCACTCTGGGGCAGACAGTGAGAGACTGGAAGGTATAAAGGCAGGGAGGGCAACTGTGGACACCAGGGACAGTCTAGGAAGGCGATGGGGGTAAGGAGGCAGGCAATCAGAGGGGAAATAACTAAACATTTAACAGACACAAAAATGGAAAGTTATCTGTTGATGATAATGCGTATGGTACTATCTTTGACTGAACTAACATATATTGTATTCATGCTGGGAAAAATAATTTTGTATGCTATAAAGAAGTACAGTGATTAAATGTAAAAAATAATTACAATAAAAAATGTCAAAACAACAACAAAAAGAGAGTTGTTGAAAGAAAAGCCTAAAGGAGTTCCTAATGGCCAACCACTAGTGCAACTGGAACAAGATAACGAGGGCAGTGGACTAGCCCATTAAATAAACACCCCGGAGTCCGCACTAGCACCCATACGTAATCAAGTAAAACCAACGGGAGAGGAGACATTCCTCCTCACAATGAGATTTCAGTAGATAAACGTAGAAGGAAAGGAGGAATAGAATTGCCTCTAGACTAACACCACAGTAAATGCACAAGACAAGACCCACTGAGGGGCACCAATAAACGGACGGGGTGGCCAGCTGAGGCATGGTGGTTAAGGTGGAGGGATCCCACACGGCCCACTGCGTGCTTTGAGTCTCCATCTGGCAACTTAAAAAAACACACTGAGCAAATACGAGTGCCCAAAACCCCGAGAAGGAGAGAGGGAGGAGAAGGGATTGCAGTATGGCCATCTTCCACGAGGAGTGTTTTTCTCACTTTCCTTCTCCGTCTCTCTCTGGTGGGTGCATGTGCCTTCTAGCAAGTTCAAAAAAAAAAAAATCACTGCCGTGAATAGTTTTTTTTTTTTTTTGGAGTGGTTTTTGCTATAGGGCGTGTGCGCTCACCAGACAGAGAGACAGAAAGCGAGAAATCACCCCCCAGGGGGCATGGCCACGCCAGAATCCCTTCTCCATTCTCCTCTCGGGATCTTGGGCACGCACGCACACGCGCCTGGCGTGAGTTTAAGCCACCGGATCCGGGACGCGAACCGCAGTTGACTACATGGGAGTCCAGCGACATAGCCATTACGCTAACTGCTGGTCCCACTGCGTGAAAAGTTTGATGAGGAACAGGATTTGCGGAGTTTCAAAGCACCCTCCTTAAAGTGCTTACCAACGCCAAGGGATGGAGAGCAACCCAGGGCAGAAAGCCAGCAGATACCAACCCAAATGAGTGAGCGAGTCCATGTCGCCTGAAGTAAGTCCCAGCGGTGTCAAGAGCCCTTAGATAAAGCCCCAGGAAGGACAAAGCACCCTTTTTGTGTTTTTTTTTTTTTTTTTCCTACCAAAAATGCACAGCCTTCCTCCACTCATAAGAAAGCACTGGAAAACCCAAACTGAGGGACACTTTACAAAGTAGTGACCAGGATGCTTCAAGAGTGTAGGGTCACACGAGACTGGGCAAGGCCAACAAAGGGCGCTGAGGAGGAAGCACACCAGAGGCCATGCCAGGCCCAGGGACAGAGAGAGGGCAGCGGGAGCACGGCCATGCAGGTCTGACGGCCCTGGCCGAGGTGACAATGTTGTACCGACGTGAGCTGCCGACTCTGGTCACCACACCGAGGTCATGAGACCCGCTACCAGCAGGAGAAGTGGCACGAGGAGTACAAGGGGTTCTCTGTACTGTTTCTGCAAGTCTTTCATAGATCTAAAATGATTCAAAATAGAAGGCTAAATATTGAGGTTCATAGTTTGAATCTCATTGGCCATAAAAATGAGTACAGAAAAGAATAAAATGGACATCTCCCTCCCAACACACTGGGATCTTGATGTTCGGAACTGAGAAAAGAATATTCCTTCCATATCTAGCACAGCTTACGCACTCAAAATGTGCCTTGGAATAACAAGTACGTGTGCAAGATATAGCAGGGGCTTCGGAAACTTCCGGTAAGTGCAACTGGAGCCCGAGGTGGGCCAGCCTCATCGCCTGGTGCTTAAAGGAGCCAGACCCCACAGTGCTGACCTTGGCTCCAATCTCAGCCCTGGGGACTTAGAAAACATGCTGGGGTGCTGTGTGTGTGTGTGTGTGTGTGTGTGTGTGTGTCCCGAATTCTGACAGGATAGAGAAATAGAGAGATGGGGTAGAAGGGACTGTGGTGTGACCATGCCCCATTGCAGGGGGTGGGGTGCTTCTCTCTCTCTCTGATGAATACATGCAGTCTCTGTTTTTTGTTGTTGTTGTTTTAAGCACAAGTTTATTTTGGTGCAAAAAAAATCAATGCATAGTTTTTCAATAATACACATTTTCCCTGAAAAAAAAAATCTAAGATTTTTGCTATAGGACTTGCTGGAGAAACAGAGACAGAAAGTGAGAAATCACCCACAGAGGGATGGTCACGCCGCCCTCTCCTCTCTTCCATTCTCCTCTTGGGATTTCTGGCACACATGCACATGTGCCTGGCA